TTCATAAAACTATTGCACGCACACACGGGTTTACTATTGAGATTCTGAAGATATTTCTTGCTTTAAATTAAGCTTCCTTTGAGCGGCGAAAGATATGATCCTACCCAGTCGTAAGCTGTAGTATAGATAAGGTAGATATCAAAAGTGATAAGTATTATATAGATGTCTATCAACAAACATGTAAACACAGGTTTTAAGTTGGTCGGTGTGGTTTTCTTTTTGTTTTAGAGCGGATGATAATAAAGGGAACAACTATTTAACAAAATGAAGTTGCCAATCTGACGTACCATCTTCAGTTTAACAGTTTTTCAATCATTGGAAATAAAATAAAATATGCTAGGTGCGCTACTTTGATGTAAGGTACCCCACTTTTATGTTAGGTGCGCCACTTTCTCCATTGTTCGTGTAGGGTAATACAAAATTCCTCATCCCGAAATAATGAAATGAGATGAAATGGGGTTTAACGTCCTACTATTCTGCTCCGAACTGGGTTAATGCAGACGGCCCGAAATAATGAACGCTGGCATTTTTGTAATTGGTCAGATTAAAAACATAACAACCACAATTTTTTTATGGACTACAATTACTGAATTAAGTATGAGCTACGTTTTAAAAGCGATTCTTTTAAAAATGAATAATAAACTCATAACACTAACACATGCAGGGTTTAGAGTTGTTTCCGTTTCAAGTGTTGATAACTATAGTGGCGAACAAAAGCAAACACGTGTCTTGGTGACCCAGACTACCAACATCTTGGTTCCGTGCGTTTGGCTCTGTGCGTGTGCGTGTGCATGTGTTTATAGCTAGTTAAAGCTAATTATTTCTGGTGATTATGTTTTCTGGGGGAGCTCCCGTTCGGTGTCGACTTGCCCCACCCCACCATAACATCCTGGCGCCTATATAAATTTTATTGCCTAATTATGGATTCTCATATAGAAATTACATCTAGATTGTCAAGTTTTAGGTTATTTAAATTTAATCAATTGTACTCAACTTCTTACCTTAGTTATCCTTTTACTCCTAATATACTTCCAAATAACTAAATTGTGAACGGATTGGTGTTTGGAGAACATGCATTTAATAAATCCACTACATTAAGCAATCTGTGTGTCTCGGGGAAATTCAATAGTCCAGTACTTGAATAAAGTGTGTATTTTTGTTCTTTTCCCAGAGTGTTTTCTACAACACAATTTACTCTTTTATCCAAGATCAAATTTAAATTAACGAACAGATTTTCACGCAAAGGGAAATGATGCGATGTGTAATTTCATTTTATTTCATGTAATAGTTGCAAATTAGAAATGATTCTTTTGGTAAGTTCAATTTTCACATTCCAATCTGCAGAAAAGAATGCTTTTGTCTGGAAGATTGCTTTCTTTACTGGGTTGGCACATCGAATCACTTAACCTACACAGATAAAATCATTCATTGAAAATATCCATTTTAAAACATCTGAGTTTTCTATACAGTCCTTGAAATGTGTTAAGCTAGATTGTTCTATCGCAAACAATAACTACCAGTTAATGCACATTTTCCAATAAACACAATCCATTTACTTCATGGTCTCTTGTGTTCAACTATCAAAGTTGTTCAACTGAACAAAATTATCTGTCAGATACAGATTGTTATTTACAATAAGATTACCAAGTCGTTTAAAACGTCTAGCGTGATTTATTAAACATCTTATTCAATTTCCATAGTTTTATCTTCACGTTTACCATTCATTCAGTCGTTAAGAAAAATGTAATGACAATAATAGCAGTTCCTATATAATTCAAGATGTTATAAATTACTTAAACAAGATGTTGTGAAGAATTACGTTAACAATTCAAAATTACACTTAGTTCACATAATCACTGATGACACTGCAAATCGCTACAAAAGTTTCTATAACAACAGCGCTTCGACATTGCTGGTAGCAAATACACGTGCGTCCATACACGTGCTTTTTAACGATGCGAGATGCTTCTTGATACATATATATTCCTAATGCTAGTATCAAGAGTAGTAAATATCCAAATGTTTATAAAGTAAGAGAAATAGTTTCGGTGTCAGAGCCTTTGTTAAGCGCCTCCCATAAAATCTATATGGACTTTACTAAGCTATCATTGGCTCAATTCGAGTCTAATGCCACCAGTTTCATCTAGACGAAAACCTATCAAAAGGTAATCCGAGTCACGGCCTTCGATTGGAATTAATCGAAACGTTCACCCATTCAGCTTTTCGTCATCCTAGCAGTTTTTATTTAACTTTCAGTATCGTTCTACTTTTATTTTACATAATCAAACCCATAACGAACTTTTTGATCGCATATCAAATATAAAGATAAAAACTTTTAATCAATATATTAATTGGTAGAAACGATAAGTCGAATAAAAAGAAACGCTTTGTATCAACATTAAATTTCAATCGATCATTTCGCAATAAAATTATCACTTTTTAATTCTTTCGCTTTATTTTCATTCATCGACTAATAATAATACAATATTTAGTTTTTTGTTTGCTTTCTGATACTATACTATCGATCAATGTTTAATGGGCGTTAAAAAAATGCACGATCAGTCATACCAAACAAAAATGGAAGATAAATATTTAGTAGTAGTAGTAGAAAAACATCATTTATACCGTTTGGCTTATGTCAGCGTCCAGCACCTTTCCTTCTATTAATAAACATTAAACTTGTGACGTAATCAACTACAATAAACCCTTCAAACTAGATAGCTTGTACATGTATTTGTGTTTCAGCCAATAGGGTGGTTAGGGTATTTACATGGTAAGAATTATCCGAACAAGCACGCGATTTAAAATGGGCGTGGATGGGACACAAAAACAAATCATACAGTGTAGTTGGCAGTATACCAGTTAAAGAGCCACATCCGAAATTTATGTCTAGCAATAAATCTAATTTGAAGATAGCAGACAGCCTTTTAGATGTTCACGACGAGCCAAATTCATAATCATTAAGAGATGCAACATTGATCATAGCTGAATAAAGAAGCCTAAATAATTTCTAACAATAGTTCGATCTGGTGTTAATTCTATAGACCTGGTTTCCGTATTATACAATAAATTATTCACAATATGAATATTAGTCGAGTATCTGTGACAGCAAATCACAGACTGGTTGTTTACGCGTTAATTTAGATAATTACATAGTGGTGGTCTCTTGTGAAAATACAATTACTCTCTCAAAACGTGTAACGCCATCATAATTTGTCTGTTAGAGAAAAACAATCCACTACTTTTGACATCTAGCATAAGTAACTTGATAAGATTGTGAAGCTGCGGGCACATAAATTAATATTTTTTACCTCATCATATCTGTGGAAGAAATAGACCCATTGTGAGTCTGTATTTGGACAGAGTAATCAAGCCATCATAAATACCATACACATTAAGTCAGGTCTTGTGGCTTCGATTCCCCGCTTGAACGTGACAAGGAGTATAGTCGCTTGTCCAGCCTCGCTTGTTTTCTGGGGGTACTCCGGTTTCCTCCCACTGCCAAAGCCCTCTATTCACAAGCGAATTATTGAAATAAAATTGAAACATATGTCAGTCCCGAAATGACGTTGTTTGTGTCGAGTACTCTACCTCTCTCAACATATAAATGTACATGAAATATCACAGTTAGCACTGTCCACTGATCTAGCGTTGAGCTTTGTTATTGAAAATGATATTCCTGTTCGCTGCCGTCTAGAAATTCAATATCGCGGTTTTAACCCCCAAACCTTGTAAATATGGTTCGTAAATATTACGTATAAATTGTAGAACTGAAAAATGGAACATTACCCTGATAAGCTAGGTAATATTTTTGTGTGTTATATAGACCAACCTTCAATTAAAACACTATTTATGGATAACAATTTCTATGGTATATTAATTCACAAGTCGTTATCAAGCAATTTGAAAAAATACATTAAATCGGCGTTTTCAACGAAAACTTTAAAAAAGTTTTTTCGGGGTGGTGGTATTTTTATTCTCCTGTAAGCAGTATGTCAAACGCATTTTTTAAAAGTATGACTTCATAATTTTGCAATTAATCAGCATACACATAGACATGTTTGGGTTTAGTGACTGTCAATACAGAGACATTAGGCGATGAAGGTCACGACATTCTTACAAAATCGAATTTATATTTACATTCGGAGTCAGTCATTTTCTTATTCATTCTATATTTCTATGACTTAAATAAACACTGCCTTATAAAATAGAAAGTTACTCAACTCGACCATTTATATAGACTTTCTATTATATTGAAGGCCACTCATCTGAATCATACCACCCTCAACCATAATAATGTAACTTCAAATGTCGAATGCGGGTCGAGAAAAACGTTTCCAAACGTCTCAGCTATTCCACTCCACGTCATGTCTTTACGACTTGAATTGGTCGGAGTAGCCATGTATATCATCTGAGTCCCAGACAAAAACCATTTAATTTCAAAGATATGAAACAATAAATTCTAAGGGTGTGTAAAGAGGTATGTCCGTTTCTGAATAGTGGTTGTAATTGTAACAAGGTTGACGTTTTGTACACGCCACTTTCACAAAATTTAATGTCAATATTTATTTTATTCTTTGTATTCAATCTGTCGACTGTATTTGCTGTCAAAGACTAAATGACCAGAAAAAACACGTACTACTAGAAAGGCATGATATTTGGACCTATGGGTCAAAAAGGATCAATAAAAGCGCAAAAGTTGGCTAAAAGGGTAACAAGTTTTGGTGTACACCGTATAGCTACGTTACTTTATATATCTTGACAAGAAAGTTTTATTTCATTGTTCTAAAAGAAGTTCCTTTCAAATGTTGAACAGGCCATGTTTATGTTAGTTTTATGGTGATGTAGGGTTCATATGGAAATAAACGAAGATCTTTTGATCTTCAGCAGAATGGCACAGAACAAGCAATTAAAATACAACCTAACATGACTCATGGCATGAAAACCAGATTATCAAATAAACATACAAATGTTTTATATACGTTTAAAAATAAACTTACCCGATGTTTGGTTGCCGTCCATTGAACAAACGATATCCATGAATAATAAGAACAAAACGTCGTGGGAAGACGCGATTCACAAATGGGTTGACTGAAATACTTCTATTCAAATCACATTAATCTAATATTGAACGTAGAAACCGTTAATAAAATGTATATTATATCATTTGATTCCCAGTCAATGGGTGCTTAAATAAAACTTATTTCGTCGTTTAGGTTTATATACTAGATTTTGTGTGTCTTTTTAATAAAGGAAGAATACGATTATGGGCCGAGTCAATATAAAATAACAATTTTATTCTTCACATATTACACGAATTCTTGGAATTGGTTTCAAACTATAATAATTCATTAACACACACTACTTCGGTATGGCAGCAAAGCCAAAATAGTTCATCCAGTAATGCACCGAGTCGATAGAAAGACGAATTTATTTTCCATGTATTACAATAGTTCTTACAGTTGGTATCAAGTTATCCATTCTTGGATTTGTATTTGAATTCATTGATGAACAGCACTTAGAACGGCAGAAGAAAAAAAAACCCGGGTAATGTTTCATCCAAAAAAATCCAGTATTATAAACCCCTTTCCATCAGATACAAAGAATCACATAAATATATAGCTTCACCAAAGTTGAAATATCTTTTGAGATTATTGTTCAATAACTTATTTATCGTAATTGTCCACCAAAGAACTTTACACAATGCTGGTGGTTCCACTTTGAACAGCCCTACAACATCTTCTCACGAGAGATCACGCATCGCGTGTAGGTAATCAGTCATTTAACTATTACATGTATATACTTCACAATGAATTCACAAATACTTTATTTATATGCATTCTACTGACCACAAATCACATGTTTCCCTCCACAAATGTCCTACTTTGACACACAAGCTTATAATAATTATAAAGAGTGAATCAAAAATATGAAACTACTATAATTTTATATGGACTTCAAGACTTCGATTCTAGTTCATGTACTTTATCATGCAGGAAGTCAAACGATATCCTCGATTCACGGATCTAATTGTGTTCATTTGAAAGTTAACCATAAGATTTCACTTCGCAATCACGTCTACAACTGTCACTTCAACGGCTAAATGATATTCGGCGTGTTATTACATCCCTGCCGTTCACACCAAACTGAATTACACAGGTATATAAACTAGCTCTTCACCACAAGACGTACTCAGGCGTGTTTCGAGCATTCAACTAAGTAGGCTATATTAAATATTGACAATTGTGTAAAACGTATACAAGAAGTTATGCATGATATAATGTCTCTATATAGTATATTGTTACTATGATGTTTTAAAGGGACAGATATGATCAGATATTGTCACGGTTACAATAGACTGCACAATAGACTGTCCAGTTATTCATAAAAGATAGGGCGGTAATAGTCCCAACTACACTATCGATTTGATCGACATTTATCCGGACTGGAACGGGGGTGGGGTGGGTGGAGGTGAATGGTCGAATGGTTAGCGCGTGCGCGTTGTATCATAAGGTCTGTTATTGAGTTAACTGCCGTGGTTTCGAAACCCTGGTTGTACTTGACAAGAAGTGGGGTCGTCTGTCCAACCTTGTGGGTTTTCTCCGGGTCCTCCGGTTTCCTCCCAAAGCTATAGATCCCTTCGCGCATGCGAATTATTGAAAGTGAACAATATATTAGTCCCGAAATGACCTCTCTCTCTCTCTCTCTCTCTCTCTTTCTCTCTCCGGTGGGAACCACGGTGGCTAGGTGGTTAAGACGCTGGCTCGCTAGCCTGGAGGTCGGGTGTTCGATCCCTGCATTGGCCGAGAAAGTTCATCGGGATTTTCCGACGTGGTTTCCCCTTGTCAGTGGTGCAGAACAGAGGGCCTGACAAGAACAGATGTCTTGTCCTTCGGATGAGACGAAAAACCGAGGTCCCGTGTATATATTGGAATGCGCGTAAAAGATCCCCTGGCAGTTGGAATTCGATATAAAGAGTAGGCGATAGTGCCGCTGCCCGGGCAAAATTTCCCTCATAGCACACTGTATGGAGTATGCCCGTCTTCATTAGCCCAGTATAGGTGCAGAACAGTATAGGACGTTAAACTCCATTTCATTTCATTTCTCTCTCTCTCTCTCCGGAATTGGGGTTAATAAATATACAAATTACAGAGATGTCCCTTTTAAGCTTTTTTTCTGGGAATAGGCAATCTGAGAGAATATACTTGGGTTGCAGACAAGTTCTGTTATGCACCAATAAGTTTCTCATTAATATAACTTATAAGGGGAATCATCAATATTTTATTATTTGTTGCATGTCTTTTATAAATCTATTAGACGCGAATGTATAGTTCATTACAGTAATGGTATCGCTTCATTAATTTCAAAAAATTGCGATCAAATTATTTAGTTATTATATGTTATGTTGTTCGGAACTATTAAAAAATATCCTTATATTTTGGTAGTTTTTGTTACATTGACATGTAAGGTAAATGATTTGTTGGACGTAGCAATGCGAAAAGTTTTCAAGAAAATGTCTCCTGAAAACCCTTTATCAAGGAATCAACGATAGGAAACGTACACATACGGTCTACATTTCTCTAAAGTTGATCGAGGTCTTACAGCTATTTGCCAAATACATTGCATAGTTACGAAACTAATTGCCTTATTTTCACATAATAAACTTTATTTATATCATTTTATTTGCACAGAGAAAGCTTGTGCTAGTAATATGTTACGTAAAAGAAGTCACCTGGCTTTCTCTGGTCGTTTTCCGGCGTGGTTCCCCTTGTCAGTGATGCAGGACGGGGGCCTGACAAGGACAGCTGTCTAGTCCTTTGGATGAGACGAAAAACCGAGGTCCCGTGTATACATTGGAATGCACGTAAAAGATCCCTTGGCAGTTGGAATTTGATATAAGAGTAGGCGATAGTGCCGCTGCCCGGGCAAAATTTCCCTTATAGCACACTGTATGCCGTATGCCCGTCTTAATTAGCCCAGTATAGGAGCAGAACAGTAGGACGTTAAACCCCATTTCATTTCATTTCATTTCTCTGGTCGTTAGCATATACCGGTAGTCTTATAATGTCATGTTGGTGACAGTTGCATCTTCATTAATTACTGGCCTTTTGTAGCGTGTAATTATTTCCATATATTGAGCAAGAAATATCCAAGACTGTTAGGTTTAAACAGTTGTACTAATATAGTCGTTTTCAATGTCTTCTTTACAAGGTCCGGCACAAAATTCTTCTAGACGACGCTGACTATTGGTAAAGTCGGATGGAAGGACTAAGATATTGTACAGGCGATGTTTGTGTAGCAAATGACTATACAAATACCACAGTATAGAATGAATGTAAAGCCTTTGTATACACGTGAATAGAAAGTAAAAGTAATATTTACATGTTATATATTATTATGTTATATAAAATTTCAACAATTTGTGGGTTAGATTTATATTCAACATGTTAACACCACGTTCCTATTAAAATAGTAAATTGCTCACTAACCAAGGGGTCAGAGATTCAATTCAAGTGTTGGCCGAGACAGTTCAGTGAGATTTTCCTCGGTGGTTTCTACCTTGTAAGTGGTGCTGGACGAAAGACCAGGCTAGGTACAGCGTCTAGTCGATCTGATGGTACGAAAAATAGAGACCCCGTGTAGACGTTGGCGTGTACGTAAAGGAACCCTTTGCAAACTAGAATTCAAATGTTGTTTAGCTTATATCACACTCAGTACCATAGGCGTACGAGCTGGGGGGGGGGGGGCTGGGAAAATTTGGGCACACAATTGTACTTTGTAAAAGTTGTATTAAAAATTTGTGTTCTTGAATGTGTCCAATTTAACAGCGAATTTATTATTATTATGTAACATACTAAGAACCTAACTACATTTTCTGGGCACTAACCACCTCCGCCCCCCCCCCCCCCCCAGTCAAAAATTTCCCCGTACGCCTATGCTCAGTACAAAATGGTTTTGTTTTTGTTTTACCCGAAGAAGGCAAACGCCCGAAAGGTTGTACTAAATTACATTCCATCTGACTTTATTTCTCATTTTAAAACATGGCCTCATCACACCGACAGATATGGGGGAGAGAAGTGTCGAGCTTTCTACGTTGTTAATCGTCATTCAACACTGTAAACTAAAATGAAGTTACTGCGTTAGGTATAGAATTATCAAATCTGCTAATAATGACAAGGGAGGTAATGGGATTTAATTGATGACTGAAAACCATTACGACCAATCTGAGATCCGCTGTCAAGTTCAGGTTATTGCAGAAAATACGACGCATTTGATGAAACCTATAAAAAAAAGTTACTATTATTAAATTATTTGACGAGGTTCATGTAATTCAACTAGACGTTTCAATAAGTTGCTTACAATGTTTGCAATAATTGACTTTATATCTAGACACATTAGAAATATACATCATGTTAATTAAACAGAATAGACTACAGCTGTATAGAGATTTATTGTAATAAACATTGACGTTAATAATTATTACATCAGCCCTGGGGAAATATATCTCAACTTTTATATACTGTACTTCACAGCCAGACACCTGCCAACAAGGCGTAGAACGGATGACGATTGTCATCAAACACAATGATTGTAATGTCACAGGATGTCTGTAGATTTATTGTATATAAATCGGGAGTTTGGATCAAAACAAACTGAATGTTTTGTATTCCTTTCACCAGAGAAAATTCGAGTGAAAATAGGTTTAATCTTCGTACCCATGCGGGTGCGTTCTAAACCTCATCAATGGTCTGTCATCAGTTACCTGTGTACTTTACACCAAATGCAATGTAAATACACATCGGAGGGACATCTGTCTGGTTCCATTGAAGTTGAGGTGACAATTATTAATTTAAATGTTTATAGACTGTGATGATACAGAAATTGCAACACACGAAGCATTCAGTAAAGGTTATGTGCCAGACACGGGTTAATCTAGTCGAGATCCACCAGGATTTTCAAGGTCTGGGTAATAATTTGGGGGGGGGGGGGTAAAACATGCGTGTCATTAGCATCTCTGGCCAAACAATAGTAGTATACTTCCCCCTTGTGGCCTTGTGCAATTCTTTAAAAATCCGATGTTTTGTTTTCAGGCTTCAAATCCTCAATTCTGGAGTCGCGGTCATATCGGTGTGACATTAGACCTCGCCGTATATAACACAGTGTTTCCATGCAATCAACAGAATGGGGAAGGATGCTTTCAGGTTTTCACGGCCAAGGGCATTAACTACGCGTAATATTATTTCGGGGATCTGAAATTCGATATGGTTCGCCTTGTATGACTAGCCAAGCAATCTAAAAAAACTCAGAATTGTGGACTGACGGACATAGGTGTCGACACATTAATATGAGAACATATAAAAGCATGAAACAATAATGATTAATTATCAACACTGTAGACCAGAGGTCTCTACGACCGACTAAGATTCACAGAACATAGTTCTCGCAGCCTTTTAAATGCACAACATGGGGCCAGCTGTCTTAAAAGTCACACATAACCCCAGATGAGACCACGTGAAGATTTGCACTTCAATAAATAACATGTAACACTGTTCTGTTTATTTAAAGTTTTGTTGAAATCCTCTGACATCTAATTGTATGTTTATCAAAAAATAAATTACAGACGAAACATAACGAGATATTTCAAGTGGTTGATTTACTTCTGTCAGATGTAAGTTGTGTATTTTATGTGATGACTCTGGCCCATCGTTTCAAACATGATTTAAACATAAAGCCTAATCAGCTGTACAGATTCATCGGTACAAACACGGGAATATATATATAAACCGGCTGCCATTTTTTTAAAAATTGCTTTTAACGGCTGGTTTTACCAGATAAATATATTTTAGTTTTGTTGAAAATAGAATGAAAACCCGAATAGTGAGATTATAAATCTCTGTTACTACTAATCAAAGCATAATTGTCTGATTGTGGCAACAGCCCTCAGTCATTGCGGATGACGAATTTGTTCAGAAAAATTCGAGTTGAAAAGGGAAACAACACTTCTCAGAATGGAAATGGGTCTGCTTTACCGATCCGAATCCCCAAATCTCTTGACTAATGAACTTCGACTGTACATACCCTGTATGATAATAATAATAATCACATATAGGGCAACAGGCACTGTCGACGTTTGGAAGCCGGGGAGGCTCA